ATTTCCATCCTGCACCTGCCAAAGGTCGATAAGTCAATCAGTGCTGTGTCAGTGCTGTAACAAGGTCTCAAACTTGACAGAAAATAGCCCAGATAAAAAGGTTTGGCTACTCACACATACAATCTACCAGCCACCCAAAGCAGAATGGAAAATAATGGGATTTCAATAGAAGGATATGCTACGCGTTCGTTCTGCTGACCCAACCATTTACCTATTTAAACAAACACTTGAGCAAATTCCATGCCCCGATTTAGAATTTATTTACGAAATAAAAGTACAATTAAGTGCTCAACATGACCCTAAATGAAGTGAGAGAAAGCAAAGAAAATTGTGCATCTAAAGAACAAAATTACCTCTCTGCAAAAAGAAATAAAACTCAAAGCACCGGTCTAAACTATTTTGCAGAGGGAGGGAAAAAGTAGCATTTTAGAAGGTAAGGTCTAAGTAGACAAGAAGTAGGTATATGAAGAAACAAAACAGTAATCCAGTGTAGATTTCAAAGTCATCTTTTTCCCCCCTGCCATGTTTGAGAAGTAGCTTTAATTTCTTTCCATCTTATACTTCACTTGCAAAGTCAACAATGGTAAGCCCATATCATTGTCAAGAAAACAACATGAATATATTCATAAAATGACCAGAAGCTTGACGTGTTTACTTTCTATTTAAAATTGTGACTAGCGTTTAAGAAACAAAATGAAAAGGGGGCAAGAAGAGACCTTAAATACTAAAAAATATATCAGATTCAGATCCTTTTAGGCATTGCAAAATTTAGTCTAAAACTCAAGTACGGGAAAACTCATGAAAAATTAAACCAGACAGGATGTGATCATGCGACATAGCGAACCATTTGGCACAGAAATATTATACATTAAACATGGTATCTCTGGAATGACACTTTTTATACCACACTATGGATTGCCTGCCTCTCATACATACAGGTGACTTCCATCCAAGATTGTGCAGATTTAACCTGTAGCTTAGCAGGTACCAGACGTTATTTACTTTAAGCCAGGTAAAAATAAAATAAACATTGGGATGAAAAATAAAGCTGAGAGAAAAAGAAGTTTTGGTCTAAATAGATGGTCAGATTAACCGTCTTTATTAGGTTCTCATTCCATCAATGCATGGCAGTATACAAGGCTAGATATCCTGTTTCCTCAAAAATACAACCTACCTTGAAAGTAAGTCCTAGAGTGATTTTTACATATGCGCCCAATATAAGCCGTACCTCCAAAATAAGCCCTAATTAAGATCCCGCCCACTCCAGAGTTAGGGTGGGGATGGGGGGGTGAAACTGCCCTACTACTTACCTTTGGACAGTTGTAGCCAGACCTCGCACACCACGACACCTGCCTTCCCGGCTCATTTCTCCTGCAGCTGGTAAGGCTGGCAAGGCTTTCCTGAAGGCCTCTGTAGCTGATAACAAAGCTCCAGATAGATCCAGAGCTCTGTTATCAACTGCAAAGGCCTTCAGGAAAGCCTTGCCGACTGCAGAAGTTCCTGAAAGCCTCTGACAGCAAAAAGGAGGCCGGGGGTGACGCGCACAATTGAGGTTAATTGGTAGATGACATTCCCCCCAAAATAAGACCTGGTGCCTTTTTTGGTGGCAAAAAATATATATAAGACAGGTCTTATTTGGGGGGAAACACGATAGAAAAAAAATGGGGTTTTCCTCACTGAAAACCATGGGACAAGGCATAAGGCCAGAGGTGGGCTGCACTTACGTTAACAACTGGTTTGCTGGTTGTAAGCTTGCACGCGCCCCTTGGGGAGTGAAACGCTGCTTCAAACATGCAGCTAATCACTTTTTGCAACCTTCTGACAAGCAAAGTCAATGGGGAAGCCAGATCCACTTAAGATGAGTCCAGGAGGGGTGGGCGGAACTCAGCTGGGCAGCATGGGCAGGGAGACCGAGACAGAAAGTGAGTTATAAATGGAAAGGATAGCGCAGGGACGGATGGGCGGCCGCAGCCAATGATCACAACTACCAGTTTGCCCAAACTGGTGCGACCAGGGAGCAGCCCACCCCTGCATAAGGCCAGGCAATTAAGGTATCAATATGGGTGGTCCTCCTTCAAAATTACAGCGGCACTGAAAAAAAGTGGCTAATGACCGTTTTTCACACTTGCACTGTTGCAGCATCTCTGTGGTCATACATTGAGGACTACCTATATATTTCATGTAAAATGTGCAGACACTATCTGATCATTCTAACTTGATTTTTGTTACCTTCTGGTGATTGGGACTGGGCCCTGTGTATGATAGCAGTATGTCTGAAATACTTTTTCATCCACTCTGGTATTTTAATGGCAGCAGCATTTTATTTGGGGCATCTTTTAAACATTCATATCTTTCACATAATGTCTTCAACATTATGTCTTAGTTATGAATGAGTCCACAGGAGTGTGGAACGCTAAATGTTTAAGTGCCCTTAAACATTTTAAAGCATTACAAGTAAATCTATATCATACTAAAACTCTTGTGTCTATTTGTCACCTTCAATTGGAAGGTAAAGAAAAAAGAAAAAGCCAGATATGTAGGAACAAAATTCAATTTTGCTCTGAGGTCTTTGTTCTATTTTCTGTTCTATGTTACATATTGCATGACCTCCTATTTTGAATGGGTAACGCAAGGTCGACATCACTATATTAAAACGTTTAATTATTAAGAGGGAAACCCATATCATCGTATTAAAGTAAGGGACCTAGGCCATAATGAAATAGAGTGGGGCAAACAGATTTACATTATTTCTAGACTTAAAATATATTAAACAAAATGCTTTTAAAGCATCACCTAATTAGAAGAGCCACCAGTTTATTCAAGCCAGTTTTCAGTCATAAAGTGTATGTCTTATGAAGTATTAGATTTTTGCAACCTATCAGATTCCTAGACTGATTCTCGAGTCTGAAATTTCAGGAGTTTTGCCAAAATACAAAAAAAAAAAAAAAATCGAAGTATCATCTCGCCAAGATTCCAATGTGGAAATGAGTGAGAATAAATCCTGGACAAAATGAAATGCAGTCCTAGAAGATGCCAAGAAAATTCTGCAAATTCAGAACATTGAAACTAAGAGAGGCATCTACTCCTTGTTACTCTGAAACACAACATTCAAATTTTGAGAAAATGACCCAGATGAATAGTGCAACAATAGTAAACTACGGCCAACTGGAAACCACACAGAGAATTTGACAGATTGTGTAGGATCTGAAGGCTTAAGAATTCGTGATTTCACAATGTGAAAATCACATGAACAATCTATGCTTATGTCCAGAATAAAGTTAAAAGGGGAAGGGGAGGGGAGGGGAGGGGAGGGGAGGAGAGGAGAGGAGAGGAAAGGAGAGGAAAGGAGAGGAAAGGAATAGCAACTAACACAAATACTGCAACAGGAGTATGCAAAGTATTTCAGTCTTTCCAATGATGTATTGATCATTCATAACTCAAATCAAAATGTACAAATAAAACTTGGCTACTTTCAGTGATGTCCCTTACAGTATACTAGTGAGTATTACGGTATTGATTTGTGGCTTTTAACTAAATTGCTTTTCCTCCCACTTTTCCAGCTTAACTATTACAGCAAAAGGGAACAGTCATGTTATAGATACTGTTGGTTTAGACTGGATGGGGGATGCTTGGTATCAAAAGCCAATGGTAAAAAGCTGCTTTGATGGCATGGGATGTGCCTCCTCTCAGGACGTGACTCTCAGGATTGAGTCTCTCAGATAGGCTAGAAGATACAGAAGGATTTTGACAACTTGAATACTGGGCCCTATCTAACAAAATTCAATTCAATGGGGAAAAAAGTAAAGTTCTACATTTAGGCGAGAAAAACCAATAGAACAGGTGATATCTGACTCCATAGTAGTAACTGTCAGAAGTATCTTTGAGTCCTAATAAACAATTACTTAAATATGAGCCAGCAGTCTGCTGCAGCTGTCCAAAAAGTCAACACAATCCTAAACTGCATTAACAAAGGGATAGAATCAAGATCACATGAAGTGTTAGTACCACTTTATAAGGCCTTGGTAAGAACACACTTGGAATACTGAACCCAGTTTTGGTCACAATATAGAAAAGATGTTGAAACTCTGGAAAGAATGCAGAGAAGGCCGACAAAGATGGCTTAGGGGACAGGAGGCATTTGAAACATATGAAAAATGGTTGCAGGAATTGGGTATGCCTAGTTTAATGAAAAGAAGGATTGGGGTGACATGATGATAACAACAAAGTTCAAATATCTAAGAGGCTGGGAGCATCTGTTACTCCCAAATGCTCGTTAAAATGCAAATTATGTCATTCATGACAATTTACAACATTTGTGCAATGATATCATTCCACAAATTATGTAATGTGCATCAATCTGCATAATGATGTCATTACAAAAATGGAATGAGTTAACATAAATGTAACTATCTCATCAAGACAACAACTTCAAAGAAAATGGATTTATCCATTATTTGGGGAGAGGGTCAGGGAAGGAGGATATCTAGATTTTATCTAGGTCTAAATATTACAAGTTCAATTGCTTTTATTTTGTTGTTTTGTAGCAAATTTAAGAATGCTGACAAAGATAGAAAATAATCTTAACATTTAAAGTTACCCAGAGTTACTTTGTATAGAGATGGGTGGCATGTACATAAATGAAATAAATAAATGAATGAAACATCTTGCAAATAAATGAAACATCTTGTTAACCAATTCACCTCAACTGTACAACAAATCATCTACATATAGGCACTTTTACACTCCTTTATTTCCTATTCCTTTAAGAAGCAGGCAAATATTGTGTTGTCTTTGCAACTAGGTAATTTTATGCGAAAGACACTGTCAGCCCATACAACTATTTTTTGAATATATATTTAAAGCTCATTTCTCATATTGTAGCTCACAAGAGATATTAATCCAGCTTCTAAGGTAATGTGCCATTCACAAGCAATGCTATTAGAAATGTTCAATAGAGGGCATATATTACATAAAATTGCAAATGCCTGTTGTTTACATACCTGTGATTTTGTCCCTTACAAGTTTGCAGGATTCTATTTCACCAATGCTCCCAAACAGACTTTTGAGCTCTTCTTGTGTCATATTCTGAGGGAGATAGTTGACTATTAAATTGGTTTTGCTGTCCTCTGTGTTCCCAGAATCAACTGGTGATGAGCAGTTGTTGTTTATGGTAGTAGGGCCATTGGCTGTGTTATTGCAAGTTGGCCCATTAGACAGTTGTGTTTCCATGGCAGCAATTACTTGCTAAAAACAGAGAAAATAGGAACTGTCAGAATTCATATTTCACCATCTATTAGTGATTCTAGCTATGAATTTAAAGCTTTGACATTATGCAAGAGTGCCCAATTGCCAAGACTGCAATTATTGTTCTATAATAAAAACAAAGCTGTTGTAATTCTCTAACAATAAAGCCGATTCAGAAAAAATAAAGCTACAAAGGCTTACTGAAATGTTTTTTTCTAAGCCAAAGCTAATTCAGTAAACCCCAAGAAATAACTGGTTAAATATTAAATTCTGATAAAATTTCAACGTTGTTCAAATAACTCCACATAAAGCTTTCAATAATTATTGCAAATGATGAACTGGCAATGACAATCAACAGTAGATTTCATAAAAGACATTATTAAAAATAAATGTACTGTTTTGGTTACTTTTCAAATATTAAAGTGGATTGGCCACATTAGTTATATTGCTGGCAAAATAAAGAGTTTTTCTCTTCCAAACTTTGTGATTGACAAGGATTAAGAAGTACTAAATGCTGGAATAACCACATGTACACTTCCTTGCCTCATCACCAATTATTATCAACTACTTTTGACCTCTATTGTTTCTCACAGTGCCCCCCCCCCAAGCAGTATAACTATGTCTTCAGTGAAACTGAGCTAATAGAAAACTGAAGTTATTGATAGAAGAGTAAAAGATTTTGTCATTTTAAGCAAGAGCTTTCCTAAATATAGAAAAACTTTTTTTATTTTAGGAATGCTACCACAGAATACCTGTTAGCTATCATTTCCAGATAAGAATGGAATTTAAATTTTAATCAAATCTGAAAAGGCAGAACTCATTTTAGAAGTGAAGAACTAGTTTAGTGTGCCCATAATACTGCTTCAAGAAGGAACTCAGCCTCAGATTTCTCCTCAAGTGGCCTTTTGATAATCCATTTATTTTCAATCTTAGGTAGTTTAATGAAGTCCAAATTATTATATTGGTAAAGAAAATGGAATGACAGTACTTGGAAATTATAAATATTTCCCTTGAAAAAAAGGAAGGTAGGAGATTATGATCTATCAACCCGAGAATGACCAATTCTGGGATAATGAGGTATGCCTGCAATGTTTGTTTTAAGAGGTCCAAATGTCTCCTAATGAACACTCCTTTCAGTTCCTCTAACATATGCTCACTTATGAACCTCTTTCCTCTGATTTCAAAACAGAACTAAATTGTTCATGTACAAACTATCCAAAGGTATTTTAAGCAGTTTGTTATTTCAAATGTTCCTCCTGTATCATGCAGAACATATGGGCCACAATATTGCAGAGTGAAGCTTTCTAGAAAGTTATTTTAAGCATTATTAAACTGATCTTTTCTTAAAGGATAACTAACCATCTTCACATATCTGCATATTTATTTTTGTGCTTAGATGGCAAGAATGAAATCCAAAAGCAACATTCAAATGAACAGCTGTAATGGCCTATATAATCTGAAATTACAGTGTCTCAGTTACAGAACCATCTGCTCCTCAAAATAAAACCATACCAAATATTCTATCTTTTAAAGAAATTATACCCTATCCGTAAATAATGTTTTCACCTGTTGGAAAACAGGGTTTTTCAGCAGCTTTGAATTTTTTGTTTTTATTTTCCAGCCAAGAAAATGTATGACTCAAATGGAATTCTGTAATTTCTTTAGTAACCAAAAAAATACACAATGTAAGTCATTTCCAGAGTTATGGTTATTCAGCATTCAGACCATACCAAAGCATCTTTAATATCAACTCTGCTCTTTTTAATTAGAAAATTGTACTGGAGCAAAACTCAAAAGTTATGATGAGGGAAGATATAACATTAGAAGAAGAAAAATTGTATCGATATTTACATGTTTCAAGTATGCCATGAACCTTGCCCCAAGCCAGGATATAGTCTAATATCTATGCCAGAACTTATAAGCGAGCGTACAAAATGAATTCAAATATAATTTTAAAGTGTTTGGTATGGCCTCAGCACTAGTGCAACATGTTAATAATAAGCCTACAGAATTTAAGAAAAATCCCACAGACCCCAGTCCAAGGCTCTGCTGCCCACGAACCACTTCTAAGCAGAGAAGCCACATCACACAGTCTGACTGCCATGTTAGTTTGGAGTTGCCGTCTGCAATATGGACACAAAAAGTACCATATGTTAGATTAGCAAGATAATGCAACAAATCAGTTCGTACAAATTTTACATTGATGGTATTGATATTCCCAGCACGTCCATGCAGTGTGGCTTAATAGAATTTCAGGCAATTCCAATCTAATCTTTTCAAATTCTTTTTCTTTCAGGAATTAAGGTATTTTTAGAAGCCGGGTTTAAAAGAGCAGAACAAACTAATTACTTTGCATCCATCTTTATAAACCTATCTTAAATGCATATACACCGACATATGGCTACAAGAACTCTTATCTCTCAGCTTAACAAAGATCTTGGTGCTGAAAAACAAATGGGTTGGGTGAGGTAGAAATAATGGCAAAAGTATTCAGCCGGATTATTTAAATTTTTTTGTGCCAGAGATTGCTTTCATTGTAACCTTTTATGAAGTTTGTGGCATTATGTCAGTTGATGTCCAGCTCTGTAGACTAATCTGTTTGCACAGTTATGCCATCAACATCATTTATAGTATGAACTCAGTTCAGTTTAAAGACTCAAGCAGTATTACTGAAATAATTGAGCTGATAAACATATAGAAATGTCTTCGATAATATGCTGTCCCGCACAAATTGTAAAACCAGACATCTGAATTTTGCAGAGCTAGAAAAGGACTAATGCATCAATCAGTATGCCACTTACAACATGTCATGATTTTAACATAACCTTCTAAAATGGGAAATTAACACGGATTATCTACAGTAATTCCATGAAGTTTCTGAGGCACCACTGTTCTGAAAACCAGTCACTAGGCCACATCTTAAATTCACATGGCTCATTTGATGGATTTATAAATTTATATGGTTTTTTATAATAAGTAAGTTATTTATAGTAAGAAATAAAATGACTGATTAAGGCAGACCTTCATATTGATCCACCCAAAAATACCACCCATTTTCTTTGGCCAAAACAAAATCTGCCAGATCCAAAGCTTGAATAATGTGTGCTTTATTACAAATTTATTTTAAGATTAAAGCATTACTTGCAACAGCACTGTATATTGATTCATTCAAGCAGTTAGATATTAGCAAGAGGGGTTTTTTTCTTCTTCTAAATGCAGAAATGCACGCACATTACTGTAAAACAGTGACTCTCTAAGGACGGAAGTTCCATGTGGAGTATGAATTAGATAAACTGAGAAAAATCCAGCCTGAAATGGAATACATTCCAACCAAAACTGAATTTATTAGTTGATTGTATAATACCTTGACAAGTTCTAATAAAATAGCAGTACAGGATAAATTTGTGTTCTATCATTGGCCATGTTATCTGGTCAATAAATCTAACTTCTCTGTATCATTCTCTCAATCCTCCAAAGAAGTAAATGTTATTGCCAATTTTCTTTGCCCACATGGGCCTCAGTGTTACAGCAAGAGAAGTTTAAATTTAGCACAGGATTGCCGTTCAAAGACATAAAAAATGCTGCAGAGTATTTTTTTTTTCTCATTAGGAATTAAGAGTTTTGTTTCGGGGGCTTTCAAGTCAGTTTTTGACAACTGGTGACTGCCTGGATGACTGCCTGCATTTTTCTTAGCAAAGTTTTTTGGAAGTGATTTGCCATTGCCTCTTTCCCAGGGCTGAGAGCATGAAACTGGCAAAAGGGCACCCAGCTAGCTTTGTGCCTGTCACAGCATTAGAACTCCCAGTTTCTAGCAGGGTGCCTGAAACATCACATCAAACCAGGGTTACCCAGATGTTGCCCAGGTAAAATCCACTTGTAATTAACCGGGGGGGGGGGGGGGGTTAAAAATAGTTCACATGATTCAATAGGGAAAGCAAAAAAAGTTTTTATAATTGGAAAAAGTTCACTTGGTAAGATTCTGTATTAGACCAATTTGCAACACCTTCTGTTACTTTGGTGCCATATAATTCTTTCCTATAAATGTAAAAGTAATATTCTAGAAGAGCAGCATGCTTCTTTAACATGCTCTCTTTTTAAATAAAGCCTAATCCTTGAAAACTGCAGGGAATTTTTTTCTAAAACAGAAGAGATAATTCAAAACTTCAATAGGCCTAATCTTCAATTCAGTCTATATGCATAGAAACAACACTAGTTATAACATAAGATTAAGAAAATTCATCTGGGCAATTAGCTGCTTTCAAAAAATACATTCTTGCACAACTAATTATTACACAAACACATATACAAACACACAACAAACTAAGAACTAAAGAGTTTAAGTTTGACTAATACTGAATTGGAATATATAGTTGGGAGAGAATGGGAGATATACCAAACATCTATAGAAGAAAGGATAAAAATGCCAACATCAAATAAAAATTTCTTCTTGAAATCAGCATGACAGTTACTTCTTACATCCTGGAAACCTGGATCACAAACTGTTAACTCTCCCTTTGAAATCTGATAAACATTTAAGAAACAAAGATATATTAGATCTGTAGTAGGAAGACAACAACATGTTAGGCAAGGTCAAGAATTCAAAAAAAAAATATCTATCAGAATGGTAGAAGTGGGGGATTTGGTAGTATTTCCAAAAGAGAGGAGAAGAAAAGCTGGCACTGTCCTTTGGGTGATATATCTTAATATTTGAAAACACCAATAGTATCATTTTTATCATCCTATTTATAAAGCTTTAATACCAAAGTAGGGAAGGATGGATTTTGTCCAAATAGAAATTTAGCTGGATAGGAAATTAATACTATATAGCCAATAGTATATGACTCTCATAAATAAAAACCAAATTAAATATTTTGCAACTAACATACAAGCTAAGGATTAAGAACAAGGAGTCTCAGGACTCACTCTTAGCCCAAACTAAAGAAGCTCTATGTAGGATACCACCTTGAACTCCTGGATATCAACCCAATAAATAAATAAATTATACAATAATCTAAATCTTCTGACCATTTTATGTATCTGTGTATTTGCTTGAGGCACCTAAACAAAATGAAATTCAAACTTAAAGGAACATTAATCTTCAAGTCAGCATTAAAGACCCACCAGAGTCAAGGTTAATTTATAAGTCTTCAATTTATAATAAATTTTATTAATCTGCATTGTTGAAGCTCAGGGGTAATGCTCATACTTCCAGCAGAAAAACTGAATCCTTAATGTGCAAAAGAGGCTAAAAATAGGTTAGAAATCCAGGAAAACTACTGTTATCCAATATGTATAATACTAAGCAACTTGGATCAAATCTTGGATAAGCCTTATAACGGTGGCAAACTTATAATAGTTACCAAGAACATGCATGTAGAACTACAAGAATGCTGTGCTCTATCATTATCATCACCATAAATCAGAAATGGAAAACAATGGCTGGTTTCATATATAGGTGTGCATGATTAGACCAAAAACTTCAGCACAATATTCTATTATAGATATGATGTCCAGTTGTGATAAATCCACAAATATGCTGCAAAACAGCAATCTTTACCATTACATTGCCTTGGGTATCTCCATATTTTAATATTTTTTAGAAAGATGATATTCATCCTCTACATAATAATTTTATCCACATTTCTCTCCTGTGCAAGTTCACTTCCTATTTGCCATTTCCTCCTCTAACTTAGAATCTCAAAGACTGTAATCCTTTTTAGCATGCAAAAGTGACTTAATAAATCTGATTCTCCATTTCAATATATTTTCCAGTTCTACACTACTTGAGGTATGATAAGAACATACTGCATTGCAAAGGTGGGTGTTGTATGCATTTTAATGTAGGTAACAGTTTCATTTGTAATAAATAACTTTATTTTTAATGATTCTCCATATGGAACTAAAATGTCTTCAGTCACTAAACCCCAAGTGACTGTTTCATAGAGATATGCTACAAAACACTTCAAGTCAATCAGCAGCATTACCATTAAGATTTGCTTTTCGCATCAATAAACATCTATTTATATATGTCCTTGGAAAACGTTCAAAATCTTTGCTTTGTCTGTTTCCTTCCTCTATATATTTGATAACATCAGCAGATTTGAACCCCTTATTGCTCAACCTAACACCAAGTCATTTATCAGTAAGTTAAAAACAGCAATCCCAGTAACATACTGCTGTTTATAATCTTTTATAAAACTGTATAGTTATTCCACCTTTACTTTCTGTTAAACACTTAGAAATCAGTTAAAAATACCATCACCTGTTGCTGTAGGCTACCAGCATTTTTCAACAATTCTTGAAAAGTAATAACCAAAGACCTTTTGAAAAATCCAAATAGATAGTGACGAGAGGACATTATTTTTATTCACTGTATGCTGCCATATTCCAAAAAATATTTTAAAAAATTACTTAAGCAAGTCTTACATCTGCAGAACAGGTTTCTTCTGCATTCTTCAAAAAGACATGCTATACACTATGTGCTACAATTTGAAAAGCTAGCATTTTACAATACCTGCATATCTCCATTTTAAAATCAGCATTTATATAGGGAAATCCTCATTTCTCTAATAAAAAAACTTTCATTACATTGGGTAGAAAGTTTTCTCACTTTTTAATTAAGAAATTTCAGAAGGATACCATTTAGACTTGGTGAATTGAGAACCATTTGTTAGCAAGATCTAGAATCACTTTTCATTATTACTACTTCAGTTTAACACAATTCTATTCAGTATTTCCCTCAGGCTGTTTTCTTACTATCTTTTTCTACCCTGTAGGATCTGGAGTGAAAACAGAACTCCAGAGATTTCTCCGAAGACTTCTTTAAAATCCAAGAGATCAACATTATTGCTTCATTTCTGTGCACTGGATATATTTTAAGATTCTTGATGTTAGTATCATTAGCAACTGCTGCTCTGCACTATTTACTTTCTTTTTCTTTTTAAATTCCCTGTGTTAAGGACTATGTCACTTTTTGTTCTCTTTGAGGAATATTTTATTTTTCTTCTAACAAAATCCTTGGCACCACACAAGAGTCATACTGATGATTTCTGGGTTTCCAGATACCTATTTATTGTATCCATTCTAATTGATCATCCATTCATT